GCATGTTAAAATGCAGTAGTTGATGGAGTGTAGCATGATTCCACAAACAGTAATTCATTAAATGACTGCATAATCTATTTGAAGAATAAGTGCTGGCAAGTGCAACAGGTTGAACTTTACTTTCAAAGGCATGATATCTTTCATGTCCACTTGTAAAAGCAGATGAGGGGGGGACAATGGCTTACATCTGTAATTTCAAAAGAAGGCACCTCACACAGTACTGCACTGAAGAGAAGTGACAGCTTAATTTCTATGTCCGTGTGTCTGAAGTAAAGAGATAACTTCAGGGCTAGGGTCATCAGCTGCTGATAATTCAGGTGAAAGTCAACATTGCCTGAGGTTACGTGATACAGAGGCAAATAAACAACTACTCCAGAGGAATTCCCAGAAACGTAGCAGAAACAGCTAGTTACCAGCTACTAGCACCATTTCTCAGGAGACTCTTCAGTGCCTCAAAGATCAGATCAACTTCACCAGGCTGGAGCTTGTTTAGAAGGGGAGTATACCATTTTTGTAATGTTTTAAATTAGAAGCATTAATAACTTTTAAAAGGATGTGATACAATAGCTACAGACTATCAGACAGACCAGGAAACATAACAGGCTAATTGTTTCTGAGATAGTAGGAACTGCAGATGCTGTAAACTCTGAGATAACAGGGTGTAGAGCTGGATGAACACAGCAGGCCAAGCAGCATCAGAGGAGCAGGAAAGCTGAGGTTTCAGGCCTAGACCCTTCTTCAGAAAATATATTTTGAAGAAGCGTCTACGCCCGAAACGTCAGCTTTCCTGCTCCTCTGATGCTACTTGGCCTGCTATGTTAATCCAGCTCTACACCTTGTTATAACATGCTAACTTATCACTTTTCCAAGAGAGATAGAAATTAGACAGCAGTTTGGAGAAGTTTATAAATAATGTTCCAGGATCATTATTAGATTGGCCTAAAATCCATTGTCCCTTTTAAGGGATATTTGCCAGTGTAATGGGAAAATCATAAACATCAATTCTCACATTGGAAGACACTTGCCAGGACAAACAGGAAATAGGAATCTCATCTACAGGTCTACATGCACCATGGTGATTGGTTGCTAAAGGTGCTTGGCAACAGGTGTTAATACTAGAAATTCAACAACTCCACAACACCTGTAATGGAGTTTCATATGCAGCAATTGAGGCACAACCTGTCTGGTATCTTCAGCTTTCACCACATGAAGCTATGCCATCTCCAATAGATTTGATTTGTTGCATGTCAATAATGTTATGTGAATGGAAGGATGTCAATCATAATGACTGGAAAATGGAGGTAGATACAGGACTAAGAAGAAAGCAGTTTAGTTTAGTTTATGAATTTTCTAGTTAAGAGTGGAAGGCAATAGCAGCTGAATGACCGCTTTCTGTCCTGTAAACTTCTGATTCATTGTTCTGGTGAGATTATAATTCACAAATTATATATTTATATTTAAATATCCATTTTAAACGGTGCAATTAGGGTTGAAAATAAAAAAAAACTAGAATGAGCCTCTGTTTGCAACTTTCTGAATCCTAAACAGTGGATCAAGTAAAGTCTTGATCAGATTTTGTTTTGTTGAATCATAATAATCAGATACTAATATCAGAGCCACTTAGGAAAATCTGAAATATTTCAATAATTATAAAGCTGGGAGACACTGGCCCTACTTGGATTGTCAACATCCACGGAAGTAAAGTCTTGAAAAGAAAACTGTTAAACCCAAAATAAATTGCTTCAAAATTACACATCATGCACTTATGTAAAGGCCTCCTACAACAAAGCCATATAAAAGGCAATCGCAATCTGTAGGAACCTGCCAATTGCCATCAATTATAAATGATAGTATTGCTCAAGGGGCTAAACTTCTGGGATAGCAAAAAATATGTTGATAAGAAGGTAGTAAAACATCATACTCATTCTATACAAGGTAAAACAAAACCTGCAGAATCTGGCATAGAGTTAGTACACTCACAGCATGCAAAAACATTAGCTCTTAAAAGGCAAAAAAGGGTAATATTTCAAACCACTTTAAAAACACAGGAAGCCCTATTGCTGAAATAGGCATTTGGTCATGTGCATTTGAGTCTGATAGACTCAGAACCAGAATGCTGCAAGACCCATCTTTCACTCAAACAACATTTCATTTCAATTGTTTTATTTTATATTTGAACACAGGATACAAACATCACTGAATAAACTAGCAGTTATTGCCCATCCCTCATTGCCCAGAGGGTAGTTCAGCGTCAAGTGTATTTGCTGTAGGTTGGAGCCTACGTCAGACCATGTAAGGATGGCAGATTCCTTCCTTAAAAGGACATTAGTAAGCCTGATGGGTTTTTACAATAATGGTCACCATTAAGTCAGGTCTTCATTCCAGATTTTTGCGGAATTCAAATTTCACCATCAGCCATGATAGGATTCAAACATATGCCCTCAGACATGGGCTTGGTGTTCTGGATTGTTAGTCTAGTGACTTCAACACCACACCATCACCTCCTCATTGGGTTTAGTCAGTTGTTGAGCCACATTCCGAGCTGGAGTAATCAAATGTGCAGTCTAAAAACAAGGCCATTTCCAGCACTTTTCTTTCAGTGGTGATGGTGTGAAGGGTGGGGTGAGGGCATTGTGAAGAGAAGTAGGGTTGTACGCATGCAGGGAATTAAAACAGAATGGAAAAAAATCTGATAGATAGGACCTTCCTTTCTTGAACTGAACCATTAGCATAGAGCACTATCCACAGAGGGGCTCAAAGAACCTCACAGTCCAATTATTACAACCTTACAGCTGCACAGTAGCACTTTGATGATAGTTCATGTTGTTTCCAAAAATAAAAAGGAATTTATTCACTCAACCTTGTTCACAGTGGATTCTTTTTATTCTTCTACATTTTATATTGCTAGACCATGCCCCAATGCATTTCAACATATATAAAAACAGTAAAATAAAAACCCAACAGATAGGTCAAGACAGAATTTCAAACTTTAAGAATTCTTTCCTTGTAGCACAAATTATGAATGCAACAAGTGGATGTTTTCTGGCAGCAAGACACTATGGTCCAAGTAACTAGCCCTCAGAAAGGCACCAGTCTAGACCACATGTCAGGCAAAGTGTTTGAGACATTGCACAGAACTATTACAAACTAACAAAACAGACTTGAAACAGTGCACAAAATGATCAAATCAGATTATATTGAATGAATTGACTGAACCAATACAAGTTACTTTCTTTCTTCATTCCTTGCGAATTAATTGGTCATTGGATATAATAACTTCCTTGGCTCCAGTTTGTTGAAACACTGATCAGCATTGCTTCTTGACTACAGCTTGGAGGTTCATATATCTGTCCCAGGATTGTTTTTTGACCAATATGGAGCAGACTAGTCTGGGGTGGAGGGACGAGAAAGGAAGTAGGAGAAAATGTCCTGTGGGTGTTTCCTTCATCAGTGAAGCATGTTTTCCAGTAATTAATCAGCGGTAGTACAAATCAAGGAAAAGTGAGAAGGATAAAGAAAAATCGGTTTTCATCTACAAGCAAGAGCAGGGTTTTGAGGTAAGGCCTGGAGATAAGATCTGAGTATGTTTGTATATTTCTCATCCACCACACTCCTCTGTTCATTGGCAGTTAAAAGAACAATATCTATACCAAAAGCAAGAAAATACTTATATGAAGCTGAAAAGCACAACCACAGATGCAAAACTTAATGTCTAAACCATTCTTTCACTATTCCAACAGTAAGGCAGCTGTCAGGGAGAACATTGTATAGTGTTGAAAATGAGAGAACAGTACACAGTTAACATGCTTCTAGTTCCAAGGGAATGCTGCATTTTTGAAGGTACTTTCAAATGAGATGTTGAAGGCAACCCCATCCACTTGTTCGAGTGAGCAGAAAAGATTGTGTGGCACTAGTTGAAGAACATCCTAGTCAACATTCTAAATATGATGTGGAGGTACCAGTGTTGGACTGGGGTGAAGGTGGTCAGAAATCACACGACACCAGGTTATAGTCCAACAGGTTTATTTGGAAATTCTAAATAGGTTAAGAGGCTTGTAAAGAAAAGAACCACACTCCCGTATACTTAAAACAAGGAAGCAGATGTTCTTATCGCCATTTTGTTGGAGTCAGAGAACACTGGAAAAGTTCCAGCAGACATTTTCCAACAGGGAAATGTAGTTCTCAATTCAAGATTGGCACCAGGCATAAACCTGGCAACAACAGAATCCAAGAGAGAGAATAGGTACAAGTACATTAGCAGGACCAAATATGGTAACCAGAGATCCATTAAGCCAACATTAGAAAAAAAATCCATAATCAGAAGCAAATTGCAAAGAATATTTGGATGATAATAACCTATTGGTTTCAGAAAAAGATGATTTATTCCAATTAACCTCAGACTTGTTTAAGGCAGCCAAATTTCAAATTGATGCATTGAAGGAAAGCCGTTGGATATAGAGTATCCAGATTTTCAAAAGCCTTTTAACAATCAAAGCTTCGATGCATCTTCAAATGGGAAAGTAAGTGGGTATCAACTACAAGAGATGAACAGATGCCAGGAAATATTTATTTTCACAAAGGCTGTTGAACAACTGGGCTGGTTGTCAGGGCTGAGGCATGGATACTGGATTCATTTAAGAAACAGCTGGACAATCTAATGGGAAGATTGTAGAGCTCAGATTGTGGAAGGGTACGATTAAAAATTGACCCAGTAGCCTTTTAGTCTGATGCCAGCTTGAGTTTTTGTAAATCTGCATAGGAAATGACAGGAACACAAAATATGAAAATCAAAGGTGAGAAACATGTATTCAGTTCTCTGGTAAATAAGAATGCTTTATAGTGCAAGTCAAACAAATTGGAAGTCAACAAATGGGACAGAGAAAATATGCTAATTATGGATATCAGCATGAACAAGGTCTACTACTAGTTATGGTACATTCAGAGGCACAAAAAGGAGCAGCTTGAATTTTCATTGCTTCATGGCAAAGTTGATAACTTACCTTACCGATGCAATAAAACTGCTATTCAGCTTCAGTTGAACCAAACTTGGTAAATGAGTACCTGCAGTAGACAAAGATTTTGTCACAATTTATAATGAGAAAAATGTGCCCAAATAATAAGAAATCAAGTTTAAAATGGTGAAATCCATGGTATTCTTTGAATGTCAACATGACTTGATCGGCAGCTAATAAACTGAGCCGTTTGAGGTCTTCTTTTGAAGTTCATTAAATCAGTCAGTCAGTTTTACATATAGAGCCTGCATATAATTTCAACAACAAACAATGTATTCAGAAAGCCTTTTGGATCAATTTCCTTATTAATGCTGATCTCACAGCTCAGTCCTCTAAACTATGCAGTTCATGGCAAGTTTTCATATGGTGTTGTCACTACACTACTGAGTGAAATGTAGAGTTCAAATAAAAGGATAAAACATACTTATTCCAAATAAAGTGAAAGCCCCAGAGATAAATCTTCACACAGATGACACAAATAAACCCAAAAAATATATTTTAAAAACTGTACGACTGACACAGTACAGAATCAGAACTAAAAACTTTGCTTCAGTTCAGAGATGGCAAAGTAATTTTATTTGGAAAAACAAATTGAAATTGTTTTACTTTATTTGCTTAACGTGCCCAGTTTCCTTACATGCTCAACTATTTTACACCTAATTTCAGTCTTAATTTCAATAATGTTCTCAGAGTACTGCTTTACTGTTGGAATATTGAAAGAAATTTTTTGACATTAAGTTTTGCAATTATGGCGGTGTTCCTTTTTCAGCTTTGTATGGTACTGTAATTTTCTCTTTTTGATATAGATATTGCTTTTTATCTGCCAATGAACAGAAAAATGTGGTAACTATATGTACAGTAATATCAATACTATTTACAACAAGCAGGCTTCTTCACCTCCATTACATTTGCAGCTTGATCCACGAATTCCTGAACACAATACAATTCTAGACATCAAGGTGCAGGGCTGGATGAACACAGCAGGCCAAGCAGCATCATAGGAGCAGAGAGGCTGACGTTTCGGGCCTAGACCCTTCATCAGAAAAGGGGGAGGGGAAGGGGGTTTTGAAATAAATAGGGAGAGAGTGGGAGGCGGATAGAAGAGGGATAGAGGAGAGGATAGCTGGAGAGGAAACAAACAGGTCGAAGAGGCGGGGATGGGGCCAGGAAAGGTGAGTGTAGGTAGGGAGTTAGGAAGGGGATAGGTCAGTCCAGGGAGGACGGACAGGTCAAGGGGGCGGGATGAGGTTGGTCGGTAGGAGATGGAGGTGCGGCTTGAGGTGGGAGGAGGGGATAGGTGGGAGGAAGAACAGGTTAGGGAGGCAGGGACGAGCTGGACTGGTTTTGGGATGCGGTGGGGGGAGGGGAGATTTTGAAACTTGTGAAATCCACATTGATACCATTGGGCTGCAGGGTTCCCAAGCGGAATATGAGTTGCTGTTCCTGCAACCTTCGGGTGGCATCGTTGTGGCACTGCAGGAGGCCCAGGATGGACATGTCGTCTGAGGAATGGGAGGGGGAGTTGAAATGGTTCGCGACTGGGAGGTGCAGTTGTTTGTTGCGAACCGAGCGTAGGTGTTCTGCAAAGCGGTCCCCGAGTCTCCGCTTGGTTTCGCCGATGTAGAGGAAGCCACACCGGGTACAGCGGATGCAGTATACCACATTGGCAGATGTGCAGGTGAACATCTGCTTGATGTGGAAAGTCTTCTTGGGGCCTGGGATGGGGGTGAGGGAGGAGGTATGGGGGCAGGTGTAGCACTTCCTGCGGTTGCAGGGAAAAGTGCCGGGTGTGGTGGAGCTGGAGGGGAGTGTGGAGCGGACAAGGGAGTCACGGAGAGAGTTGTCCCTCCGGAAAGCAGATAAAGGTGGGGAGGGAAAGATGTCTTTGGTGGTGGGGTCGGATTGCAGATGGCGGAAGTGTCGGAGGATGATGCGTTGGATCCGGAGGTTGGTGGGGTGGTACGTGAGGACGAGGGGGATTCTTTTTTGGTTTTTATTGCGTGGACGGGGTGTGAGGGATGAGGTGCGGGAGATGTGGGAGACACGGTTGAGGGCGTTCTCGACCACCGAGGAGGGGAAGTTACGGTCCTTGAAAAACGAGGACAACTGAGATGTACGGGAGTGGAATGCCTCATCCTGGGAGCAGATGCGGCGGAGGCGAAGGAATTGGGAATAGGGGATAGCATTTTTGCAGGAAGGTGGGTGGGAGGAGGAGTATTCTAGGTAGCTGTGGGAGTCGGTGGGCTTGAAATGAATATCGGTTTCGAGGTGGTTGCCCGATATGGAGACAGAGAGGTCCAGGAAGGGGAGAGAGGTGTTAGAGATGGTCCAGGTAAATTTAAGGTTGGGGTGGAAGGTGTTAGTGAAGTCACAATTCTAGACATGTTTTCCATTTGGTCATGATGGAAAAGGAAAGCAAGTGATGGAAAAGAAAGGCTAAATTATGCAGCATCCATGCTTATTGATCAACTATGATTCTGGTTTTTAATTCATTCCCACCCTTAAATTTCTTTTCAATTCTCAAAGTAAAAGGCTTTTACTTGGCCCTGGTTATTGTTGTTCTATTACTGAACAAGAGCACTTCAATGTGGCTCGATTGTGAACTTTTCTTCTCACTGCAAAACATAAAAGCAAAGCACTAACCTCCTGCCTTCTTGTAGCAGCAATTTTCAGGTTTTGAGTTTAGTGCTGTGCTAAATTGTAGCCACGTTAGCATGCTACAACATGCAGGATGGAGGTCCAATACACTGAGTAAAGAAAACTCACACCAAAAAAAAAGACAGAACTACACCCAGGAAAAAAATGTAAGGAATGTATACTTCTTTAACCAGGCAAAATTCAGTATAATTTTAGATTTTAAAAAATAACAAATCTCATCTTTGCTTTGAAATAGAATGAAGAGGAAACCCATAGGGACTTAAACTAGCTTCACTTGTTTTGAGTTTCATGTTTAATAAGAATTTAAAAATTTGGGACTAACTATGTGCAGGGAAGGTTTGTCTGAAGGGACCACAACACTAATTATCTGACCCTGTGAAAATGATTCACTGGTGGAAGAGTGGAAATGGATCTCTAGTTGTCACAGCTACAATATACAAGGGCTGGATAACTATCTATAACTATAAAGCATGTCTGGCTCAGTGCAGACCATGCTGGAAATATAGTGTTTTATGTATAGTGGTTTTGCTTAAATACAAAGAAAAACCATAAAAATGACAACATTTGAATTATGAACCAAACAGGATGGATATGAATAAGAAACAGGTAAAATATGAAGCAAAATCAAAAAACAGGTCAGGCATAAGCCAGTTGATGGCTCGGGTATAGATCCCTCTTTGGAACAACATAATATTTCAGATAGACAGCCTAAGAAAAAAAAACACAAGGAATTTGGTAGGGATAAAATACACACAATAACCAGCCACACAGAGGAAAGGAACATGAACAACATATAAATTGCCTTAGCAATGAGTAGGAAATGGTCAAATGCCAGGAATGATAGAGGCAGGAGAGAAGTCACAAGGGAAGTAGTCAAAAGAATCAGAAACATATCCATCGTACAGAATGTGAAAAGAGCTGAAGAGACAGGAAGTAAGTAAAATAGGAAGCATGGGAAACAGGCAAAACAGAATAAGGTCTGGGGTACAGCTGAAACATTAATGTAAGTCAACACCAAGAATTCAGACTATACTGTTACTCAGCATTCAGACAGTGGGAGCTCTGCCCCCAAAGCTCCAATGACCTCACTTCCCTCAATTCTGAAAGGTGACACCCTACTTACAAAGAGCATGAGAGCTTTCATTCTGGTCTGAATTTATTCAAGTCCACATTCCAGTGGAGACTAAGTGCTGGTCAAATAGTTAGGCTTTAAGAGGTTTGTCAAAGGAAGAGAAGGGAACAGTGATATCCAGGGAGGCAATTCCGGAGGTTACAACCTAAACAACAGAAGGAATTGCCACCAATCATAAGAAGGCAGAAATCAGAAATGAATAAGAAGCCAAAAGTAGAGACATATGGAGGTGTTTTCAGTTGTGGGTGGTTACAAAGATAGAAAGTGATGAACACTACAGTGAGAATTTTAAATTTAAGGCAATGCTGGACTGGAAGTTATTATAGGTAAGTGAGTAGAGGAGTGAAGGGTGTACAGTTGTCACAAGAGAACATGAGCAGCAAGCTCTGGATGAGCTGAAGTTTACAAAAGGGTAGAAGATGGGAAGTTGACCAGGAGGACTTTGGGAATAGATAAATCTGAAGGTAACAAACGATAGAGGATATTTTGAGAGAATTGGGTATAAAACTGTTTTATTCAGTTCACCATGTCACTGCAGTCCTCATTTGGATTTAATAAAGGAATCAATTTCATGAGGAAGTGGATGCAGATTTAAACAGTTACGTGCACCAGTAAAGTGCATTATAAATACATCCTTCACATTTCTAAAAGTCATCTCTAAGCAACAGTAACTCACACATGCTAATACATAACAAAAACAAGATATCAAACAAGAAGACCTTTAGAATAAAGAGCTGTGATGAAATATTTTGCTACAATAAACAGAATTCCTACCGAAATTTCCAAGAGTGTTATCCTGTGTGTCCACGCACATCTCCAGAACTTTCACCTGTTGTAGGTCCTCTGTTTTGGTCAGGGCTCGCTGCAAGGATAAAAAAAAAAGATGTATAACCTACTTGTATTTATATAGCATCTTGAAGAAAATAACATTCCTAGGTGCTTCATAGAGCCATTCTGAAACTAAACGACACCAAGCCAAACAATGAAATATTAGCAGAGATGATTAAAGATTTGTGAAAGAGGTAGATTTGAAGGAGTGTCTTAAAGAAAGCTAATGAGATAGAGAGGCGGATACATTTAGGACATGAATTCCAATGCTTAGGAGCCGTGTATTTGAACGCAATGCCACCAATGGTGGAACGATTAAAAATCAGAGATACTCAAGAGGATTAGAGGATTTACCAAGCTGCGAACTTGGGAGAAAAGTACAGACATAGGGGAATGGCCAAGCTAGTGTGGTGCTTGAAATCAAGAGAATTTTAAAAATTGAGGCTTTGTTTAGTTGGGAGCTAGTGAGCATAGAAAATGGATCATTGGTATTTGGTGCTAGTCAAGTCATGGGCAGGCAGCCTGAAATATAGGCAACGTGGAAGACCAGCCAGGGTTACGTTAGAACAGTCATGTCTGGAGGTAGCAAAGACATAGTGGAGGGCTGCTGCAATAGAACAGATGAGGCAAGGGCAGTATTAGGCAATGCTGTGGAGATAAAAGTAGTAGTCTTAATGACGGATAGGTGGTTGAAAGCCATTAAGGTCATGCATGACACAGATCATGAACAATGTGATTCAGTCTCACATTGTTCCAAGGGAGAGGGAATAGAATCAGTGAAACGGAAGTGGAGTTTGTGGCAGGATCAAAGACAATGGCTTTGTTCCTTTGGTTTTCTCAATATTCAATTGGAAGAAATTTATGTTTATCAAGTACTGGATAAGCAGTTTAGAGAGACACTGGAGATGTTGAGAAAGTTGGAGGCAACGTAGAACGAGGTCTCAGTATAACCCCGTAAACTGGGACTGTGTTTATGGATGAAGTCTCTGAAGGTCAGGATGTGGATGAGAAGTAGAAGAGATCCAAGGATAGGTCCTTGGTGGACACCAGAAGTAATTTCATAGGAATAGGAAGAGAAGCCATTGGTGGCAATTCTCTGGCTACAAAAAGGGCCGCACGGTGACTCAGTGGTTAGCACTGCTGCCTCACTGCGCCAGGGACCCAGGTTCGATTCCACCCTCGGATGACTGTCTGTGTGGAGTTTGCATGTTCTCCCTGTGTCTGTGTGGGTTTCCTCCCACAGTCCTAAAGATGTGCAGGCTGGGTGGATTGGCCATAGAAAATTGCCCGTAGTGTTGAGGGATGTGTAGATTAGGTGAGTTATAGGGGGATGGGTCTGGGCAGGATGCTCGGAGGATCAGTGTGGACTTGTTGAGCTGAAAGGCCTGTTTCCACACTGTCGGGATTCCATGTTTAAAAAAAATAGATAATCAACAATGGAATCAGGTCAGAACAATGTCACCTAGCTGGATGGCAGGGAAGAATTACCAGAGGAGAACAGTGCAGTCAACTGTTTCAAAGACTGCAGACAGATCACAAAGGTAGGGCTAGTCTGTCTCTGGCACAGTTATATAGGATGTCATTTGTGACTTTGCTAAGAGCCACTTTAAAACTGGAAATCTAACAGCAGGGATTTAAACATAGGAGTTCTGGGAAAGTTAGGGCACAAATTTAGGAGAGTGGGATACAATCCAAGACTCTGGAGAGGATGGAGATTTTGTAGATGAGGTCGTAGTTTACAAAGCTTAAGAGGTCAAGGCTTGATTTTTGACGAGAGGGGTGATGATGGCAGATTTGAAGAAAAGCACATAACCTAAAGAGAAAAAACATTAATAATATCAGCCAATATGTGAGCCAGGAAGGGAGACTGGATGGTCAGTAGTTTTGCAGGAATGGGATTGAGAGAGCATGAGGTGGATCTTATTGGCATGATAAACTCAGATGGCATGAGCAGAAAATAAGAAACTAGAGAAGGAAATTAGTTTAGCGTGAGGGTAGGTGGAAAGCTTTGAGGAAGTTTGACTCGGCAGGAAATATAAGAAATATAAGCCACATAGACTGTTGGTGAAATGTTCTCAATCTTAATGAGGAAGAGATCCAAGAGTTACTTTTTTCCCCCCCTTATTTATTAACAGGATGAGGGTGTTGCTGGCTAGGCAGCATTTATTGCCCATCCCTAATTGCCTAGAGGGCAGTTCAGAATCAACCACATTGCTGTGGGTCTGGAATCATATTTAGGCCAGACCAGGTAAGGATGGCAGTTTCCCTCCCTAAAGTACATTAGTGATCCAGATGGGTTTTTCCGAAAATCGACAATGGATTCATGGTCATCATTAGATTCTTAATTTTAAATATTTTATTGAATTCAAATTCCACCACAGTCCAGCGATAAAACCACAAGGCCATCACCTCCCCATATAACCAACTTGCATTTGTTGTTGGAGAGGAGGATGAAAAAAATCAGGATAGGTATTTAAGAAGACTCTTACAGCAGAGAAAAGAAGCTGGGGATTCCATTATGAAAATAGGACCCATGATACTTTATGTGGTTGGTGACAGGGAAAGGCTGAACTACAACTTGTTCAAACTTCCTTTCAAGTCTGCATCCCATGACCTTAAGGAAGCACAGATGAAGGATGAAGGATGAAGGCCATACCAGGGGAAGGACAACCAGGATGATAAAAGCAGGGGATTCTGCAATGTGAAATGCAGCTTGTAGAATATTAAAACTTACAGGAAAAGGAACAGCAACAGGGCCACAGTATCAGCGTGCCGACAATGTGGTACCAATCAATACTAATAGCCATTTCAATGCCTGACCTGTTATAAACTTAAATTTTAAGTCAAAATAGATCTCAAATATTGGTCAATCTCACGTCAGGTAAGATATATTGAAGCAGTTCACTTAAACTGGTCATTGTAAATGTTAAGCTGTCTAGGGTACGGGTCTAGGCCCGAAACGTCAGCTTTCCTGCTCCACTGTTGCTGCTTGGCCTGCTGTGTTCATCCAGCTCTACACCTTGTTGTCTCAGATTCTCCAGCATCTCCAGTTCCTACTATCTCTAGGATACAAAGTATCCTTTTACACTTCGGTACGTACTGTATATCCTGCAACCAAGTAGTTGGTGCCAAGATATCAATGTAAAAGGTTTAGATTGTGATGTCAAATTGAATTTCAACGACTTGAGCCCATAATTTAGACTGACACTTTCAACATTGAAGAAGTGCTGTAGGTGCCATGTTTTAAATAAGTCATGATAAAAGATTCGATGGCACTATTTTGAAGAATAGTCAAAGATTTTTCCACCCCCAGTGGACATTTATCCTTCAACAAATATCACTAAAAAAAGTCACTATACCTGGTTACTATCACAATGTAGTTATGACTGCTGCATTTCCTACATTACAAAAATGACATTTCAAAACAAGAACTCTCAATAGTTATAAAGTGCTGTTATAAAGGTTGTGAAGAACTGTACAGAAATCTATATTTTTCTTAAATTGCCCCCGAATCTGAGCTTTAGTGGGAGCTCAGCAGTGTCAGAAACAAGTGGTTACATTGCTTCAGTTCTGTCAATCTCTCACAACAGAGAGAAAATCTCCTGCAGAGATCTCAGGTGTACTCATCCCTATAGAACATCAACAGTTGTTTCAAGGATTCCAACAATGCCAACTTTTGCATGGATCAGATAAATTAAACTCATTGTGCATATAAATGCTGCCTGAACTAATGCCTTCATATTCCATAACTTGGCATGCAAATAATTCATATAACCTCCATCTTTCTGCTTCTAGCATTTAGCAGAAATTTAGCTGCTTGCTAGCATTTCTTTACCTGATGCAAATAATCTTATTATCGTTATCCTGTTGTAATTTTGAATACCTCTACTGGATTTCTTTTAACTTTCTTAACCCAACAAATACAATGCAAGCAATTCACACCTCTCATCATAACTATATCTCCTCCATTACAGACTTAATCTGCCAGAATCCACTTCAAACTTGCTTTTTGGCCACAGTATCCATTTTAAAAATGAAGTGTCATTTTCGTTTTGCTAAACAATGAAAAAAAAGTAAAACATACAATAAAGGTAAGACTGAAAAGATCCAACCCACTGCAACAAGTTCACGGTAATTTGTACAAACTATTTTATCCAAAACTTTGCCACTGACAAATGAGATCTCTTGATGACTAAGGAATTCTTACTTTAAAAGTACCAACCTCTCCACCAGAACATCAAATTAAAGTCTGCCCTCAACAGATTTCCACATTTTGCTACCATTATTGGAGGTGACTGATTTTTTCTTGCCATTTAAGTCAGGCACTAAGACCTTTGTGTCCGACATAAGCAGAAACCTTTTAGGATAATAGTCAATAATCAGCATTGCCATGAAGAAGTTCACAGCCCTGAATGCTCCAACATTCTTGTTAAAAGGTTATCCCAACACAGTCAGAAGTAATTCGCAAACTGCAGACTCCATTTATCTAATTTACTTCAGATCTAAACCTACTAGTTTACAGACCAATGTGACAAGTGAAACAAACTATGCAACTTGACTTGTTTTCCATACATGAAAAATGCTAATTTATCAAAATCAGCCTTATTATGTTTCTGTGCAGGAAGGAGGATTTGGGTGCCACTTACAGATTTATTCACCAGATAAATGCATGACTTGGTCAATTTCTTCTCATCTGTTTAAAACAATGTCACTTGTTGCATTATTTGGATTCTGTAATACAAGTGACAGCAAGATATTGAAAAGGAACCTTTTATTCCTGTAAAATCAGATGATAATGTAAAATCCAATCTGATGTCATACGGTCAACTTTTATTAATCCTGGTAACACATCAAAAAGTAAAGCCAGGAAATAACTGAAAAGCCATACAGTTACCTGATAATATCAAGGCACAGGTATAAAACTTCCATAATGACAATCCTAACTGTCTGTAATTCAAAGATTAAAAGGTTATTTGAAATATATCAATTTTTATTAATAAGACGCCGATTAACTTCTGACTACATCCCTTCCAA